CCCACCCACCCACCCCACCCACACACACCCACACACACACACACACACACCCACACACCCACACACACACACACACACGTGATTGGAAAGGTGATGCGCACGATTCCCAGTCACAGTCTCATTTTCTTCCTCATTCTTCGTTGTTCTCGTTCTCGTTCTCAATACTCATTGCAGGCTGCTGCGGATATCAGAGATTTGCCAGGCTCGGATGCTTTTGCTTGCTCGCCAGACCCTTTGCCATTGCAGCACCTGGGATCTCGGCTTGTCGATGTTGCTTTTAGCCTTGTTTTTGGTTGCTGATGTTACCCTTTACCTTCTTCTGTCTAAGAGGCCGGTTCAGTCACACGAAGCACGTTCTACTCCCGAAATCAATTCCTGGAGCCCTCCGAGTCTCTAGATCTCATGACAAGACACATGCGGGCGGAAGCCTTACCGATGTTCAGGTGCCGAGCAGCTATGCCTCTGTGTCAATGTTTCGCAGAATCCTGGGCCAGGCAGGTTTGTCCATGGCCAAGCTATCTTGTTCTCTAAGAAGAGGAGGTCTGCAACAGCCCAAGAGTTCCAGAAGCCGGGGCCAAACTTTCATTGCAGGTCTAAGTCAGAGAGCAGCATTATGTCCTCATAGATCGCTTGTGCTGACCAGGGGCAACGGACAGGGCAAGAGGAATTTGGCTGCATTTTGTGTAAAAGCCGTGCGGAATTTGGATTTCCACTTGTGGCGGAATGCCAGCCCGCGCGCTCTTGCCACCAGTCCCTTGACATCTGCACTCCTCTCACCTACCTGTTCCTGCCGTGCAGGAACTCGCGGGGCCTGCCGACTTCTCTTGTTGCGGCCTCGTGCGGGTAGATTCTGATTGCGGACTGCTTGACCATGTCTTGTCGGTTGTTCAGTCACAACAACCATCATGCCGGTTAGTGGTCCCTTTATGACTTGCCACGTTGCTACAGATAGGCTCCGCCATGACATTGGTGGAGATGCTGGTGTCGGTCGTTGGTGATGAGCAGCAGGAGGACCGATGGTGGATGCCTGCTTAAAGCGCGATGTGGACTCTCCTTTGTCCTGAAAGCTTAGAAGGCACCGGCCGAGATTTTTCCGAAAGCCAAGGCTTGGGCCAGCAGCTCAGGGTTGCTGCCGAAGCGAGGCAACTTCGCTCGCAGCCCCCTCCGAATTCATTCATGGCCGAGGGGAGTCCCTGAAACCCAAAGCCCTAAGCCCGAAAATCCCTAGACTTGAGACCGAACGAAGCAGGATCTTGCCCGAAACATGACGTGTACTGACCAGAGCGCATGCTCTTTTTCTCAGCCTTTCGGGAAGCTCGTTCCTGGAGTTGCGTTTGCGCCGAGAAAGGCGACATGTCAAGATGGAACCCTCCCGACCCCTGTTTGGACCCATGCCTCAGCAAAATCTTAATTCGCTCCCCTGCTGCCCTGTGCGCGAATTTTTAGGATCGCCTTTTGTTTCGATCCCCCTGTGCGCCTCGATGCCCGCACAACTCAAACTCGGAGCTATTCCCCAATCCCACAACCCAGAGGCCCAACAGGCACCAAACTTAAGCAGAATTAGTTCCTTCGGTAGCTTTGCAGTCCTGGGTTGGGGTATTGGCTAAAGATTTAGTTTGCCACCGACTGGCACCCGCGGACTGCTTTTCCAAGCGTGCGTGTCCTCTGAAAGAACCCATGACGAGTTAGGTAAATGGTCGTTGCTTCCCTGATGTCCCAATCTGGGTTCGGTCTGAGTTGGTTCAAAGCGTGAGAGTTTTCTCAAGGCAGCACTCGGAACCTTCCTTTTGTGGAATTTTTGGATTCTTGAAGCCCTCGTAAACCAAAAGCGCTAGAAGCTTCGACGCAGGGCTGGCGGAAGGAAGCTGGGCCCGCCTGAGCTGGCGGTGCTGCTGGCAGAGCTCTCAAAGGCCGGGAAGCGGGTCCCAAAGTAGAAGCTCCGGTGTCCGATCTCTCTTCGATCTCTGCGGTGTCGGACTGTCGTTAGAGTCTTATACCGGAACGCATCTTAGAACAGCCGAAGCTCTAGCGGAGATTCTTTGGATTTCTTGCAGATGGAGCTGGAGACGAGTTCCGAGCCGGCTCCGACGTCTGTCGATGCGCTGGGCCCTTCAGCCTTCGTGGCCTCAGCACAGGCAGCTGCCTTGGCTTCCCGGGATTCCCAGACACAGACACCCACAGTCGCTGGTGCCTTTGGCTGTGTCTCGAGGATGCTTCTGTGACAAGACAGAAGTCTGCATTTTGGATCGGTTTGCCTGCATGTGCTTGTACACTCCTAATGACATGGTATTACATGTCGGATGCTCTTGAACCTGAGCACAGACAATCCCAAAGCCCGTGTGCATAAGGATGTCACGAACGAGGAGGATCTCATCTTTCCGGAGGACATCCCATTCCCGGTTCTTGATCTCAGGGTGCGGCGTCCTAGATCGGGAGTGAAATTCATGGGCATTGTGCTTAGCAAGTCGAAGGCAGAGGTGCAGCAGATACACGAACCATGCAGCAGTGTCAGTCCCCAGGATGCAGACCCCTGCTCATCCACGGAAGGCTCTTCAGAGTTTCCGATGTGGGATGTGCAGCCCACGAAAGCCCACGCGAAGAAAACCTGAAGACGTGGGCCTTGTTAACTGCACCGCAGGACTTGCTCTGGTCCGTGGCGGCCTTCGCCCAGGAGTCGAGAGCGCGCGTCTCCGTGCCGCTCTTGGAGTTTTATTCGCTATCACATGCTTGTGCTTTCCTGGTCACCAGAAGAAGCGCCAGAAGCAACTATGCTTAGTCACGAAAGCTAGCCTCCGTGGCTAGCCGAGTTTCTTACCAACCGAAAGGTTGCATCTAGGGGTGTGGGGAATGGCCCCACCCAGGTGGGCATTTTTTGCGCGTAT